CGACTATACACTACATATAATGTCGCTAAGCTCAAAGGCTCAAAGCAGCAAATTTTTTTCTAAAACATAAAGTATACATTTGAAACGCTATAAAAATATTTAAGGAAACATATCATGTTTATTTAATTTTTTTTTTGATTTTGATTTATACTATGTTTTACTCCAAATTACTACAATATTAGACACTGCTGGCCTGGCGGACATTTTCTGACCTCTCCGGTATAGGTGGCGTGACGAACTTTTTACAGTGTATAAATAAAATTTAGTAATAACTACCACCTATCGGATCCAGATTTCGTGATTTTCTATTTTGGCACTAAACGAATATATTATGTTTGTGAATATTTTTTTTTATATAGGATAGGGTGACATACGAGCACACAGTCCACCTGATGGTAAGTGGTCGCTACGGCGCATAGACATCTACATTTATCCTCGTTTGCAAATCAAAATGCAGATGCGTTGTCACCCGTGAGGACTAAGATAGAATGCTTCTTTTCCAGTAAAAAGGGTCTCCGGTTCTCTACACTCACCATACGAAACACAGCAGCATGAAGCTGCTGTTTGACGCTGGTATTCTGTAAGAGCGTGGTCCTTCCCCGGTCGAGTCGATTCATTCGTGCTACAACTATACTACTAATATAACTGCAGCATGGCTCTACCACGTTTCATTTTACGACATGAATCATTTTAATCAATAAATAGAATTTGTTTATAACTTGGGCCACATATCGGATTCCAGCATCACTGTGAACCATCGTCTCGACAAAACAAATATGTTGTGTAAATAATGAATATCGCCTCAACCTCAATAGGTCAAGTCGTTCAGTTACGCGATTACTAAGAGACGCCTCAATATATTATATAATAATAAAAATAAAGATAAAAATGTTGGCAACCCTAGTTACGTGAGTTCCAATTCTGCGAGTGCGATTGCCAGTTAGATTAATTGAGTATAGAATAGCTACTAAAAAAGTTAGTCTGTTGAGTAGGATTTTGGCATGGATTCACTAGGGATAGGATAGGATAGATTTAATACGACTAATGTTTGCAGGCAGATAATTAACGTACTATGTTCACTCGTATGTTTTGTTACATCAAGGATAGTGTTTTAGTGCGTTTTAGCAATACTTTAAGAAATAAAGAATATGTGCGTATTTTTTTTGACAAAGTGCCCAAATAAAAGAAATTAAAAACCAATCAAGTGCACGCTTTCCCATTTCCTTGTAAAGGGTGATGTTCATATGTCAGTTTTTTTGTTTAAATTCTTATCTCGTCTGTATGCAGCTTACCCTGCCTAACTGACAAATCAGGCCCTAGCGATACGATTGACGGTGGAAAAAGTTGAATTCAAGCTTCTCGGGCATTCCATCTTAATCCTTAGGTGTAGTGATCACGCATTTATTGCCTTCTTTATTTGTACTTGTCTTTTTTTTATAGGAGAGGGGGCAAACCAGCATGCGGCTTACCTGATGGTAAGTGATTGCCGCCGCCCATGAACAGCTGCAACACCAGGGAGGGAATCGCAGATGCGTTGCCGGCCTTTAAAAAGTAGTACGCTCTTTCAATTTCAGAGTTCAGGTCCCTAACCTTCAAGAAAAGAGCGTACTCCTCGTCGTATCGGTCCGGAAAAATCGCTGATGGTGATCGATTTCACAAGGAAGTCGTGCGAGGAAGAAAACATTTTCTAAATCGCACAATGGTGGACCGCCAATAATCCAGATGGTGTGAATGGTATCGGAAGTTCTGCCGCGATGTGCGTTCGTGAAATTTGGCGGCTGGGATTAATCCGAACAATTCCTCAGAGCACTCCCCGTGGTAGTTGCGAAAGAAAATGCAAAGGAATACAACATCTCCTCGCAGTGTCAATGAATCGAGCCAATCGGAAAGGACTCGGTCGTCGACGATTCGAGCCGCTCTGCGCTGGATGCGGTCAAGTGGAAGGAGCTGGCTGGGGAGCCCCTGCCCAGAGATGGGAACAGTATTCCATGTGAGGCCGAACCTGCGCCTTGTAAAGTTGTAGGCGGTGTGCCGGCATGAAATACTGTCCCGCTCTGCTGAGCACGCCAAGCTTTTTAGAGGCCAATTTAGCCTTCTCTTCCAAGTGACCACGAAACTGCACGTCACTCGATATGTCGACTCCGAGGATTCCGATACTGGCTGAGGCAAGAAGGGGAGTCCCTTGAAACTGAGGAGATACGACAAAGGGGTTCTTTTTAGCGGTAAACGCGCAAACTTGTGTCTTCTGAAGATTAAACTGGACTAGATTTAGTCGCCCCCAATCCGAGACTTTGTTCAGCAAAGACTCGACTTCAGACACAAGTTTGTTCCGGTACTCGGCGACGTTTTCACGAGAAATATTGGCACGGCCAGTGTATAGAGCATCACCAGTGCTGTCATCCGCATAGCAATGAATGTTACCAGTTAGCAACATATCATTGATATGCAGAAGAAACAGCATTGGTGATAGCACACAGCCTTGTGGAACACCAGCGTTAATAGGTTTGTAGTCGGAGCACCGTCTACAACGACCTTGATACTCCGATCTGCAAGGAAACTAGTTATCCAATCGCACAATTTCTCGGGAAGCCCATAGGAAGGGAGCTTCGAAAGAAGCGCTTTGTGCCAAACCCGATCGAAGGCCTTCGCAATGTCCAAGCTAACAGCCAACGCCTCCCCCTTGGACTCTACTGCCTCTGCCCATCTATGGGTCAGGTAGACCAAAAGAAAAGATCACCAGCTGATCGACCCCGACGAAAACCGTATTGGCGGTCACTAATCAGCTGGTGATCCCCAAGGTACCGCATGAGTTGGCAGTTAATAATTGATTCCATTATTTTGGAGAGCAAGGAGGTGATCGCGATAGGCCTGTAGTTGGATGGGTCTGAGCAGTCGCCTTTTTTAGGGATCGGGTGGATAAAAGCTGTCTTCCATGAATTCGGGACTACGCCTTGGGAGTAGGAGTACCGGAAAAGACGCGTTAGGACCGGTGCCAACTCCGGAGCACACGTCCTCAGCACAATTGGGGGGATTCCGTCAGGCCCACTCGACTTCTGGATGTCCAGGGAGAGGAGTGCTTTGCGAACCGAGTGCTGTGAGAACAGCACATCCGGCATGGAGCACTCACACCGCGGGATGGTCGGCGGTGTTTTCCCTCCGTCATCAAGAGTCGAGTTGGACGCAAAAAGGGAGCCTAAAAGGTCGGCTTTGTCTTTTGCGTCTTGGGCCAGTGAGTCATCCTCCCTGTGTAGCGATGGTAGTGACGGCTTACAGAAATTCCCTTGGACAGCCTTGGCGAGAGACCAGAATGCACGGGTTCCCGAAGAAAGGCGAACTAGTTTCTCGCCAAATCTGCCTATGTGCTCTGATTTTGCCTTGGCAATAACTCTTTTGAAGGACCTGGAGGCGAAGTTACACTTCTTTTTAAGTGTGCTGGTGTTACATCCCGAGTCGCTGAAGCCGCAGCCCAGGCTTGATAATACTCCTGCTTACTGCGTAATGCAGTCTTACAGGAGCGACCAAACCAAGGCTGAGATCTGCCTCCGATGGGTACCACAGATGATGGAATAAATATTTCCATTCCCTGTAGTACCACATCAGTGACTGAGTCAGCAACAGCGCTGGGATTATCCGGCGAGAAGCAAACCCATAGGTAAGATGCAAAGAAAGACCGCATTCCGTCCCAATCCGCCGACCTGTAATGCCAAACACGGCGGCAACCTGCAGAACGCAACCGCGAGGAGAGCGTGAGTGGCACTACACTCCGGATCAGACAATGGTCCGAAGAGCCGAGAGGGGCGGAAACCTGATATCCGTCCGGATGAGAGGTCAGCAGAAGGTCCAACAGGGAAGGTGTATGATCCTCCACATCTGGAATCCGCGTAGGCGAAGTAACCAGTTGTGTCAGACCATATGCCAAAGCAAAGTCATAAACACATCTCCGTTAAACGTGAACCGAGCCATTCGGCATGGTGGGCGTTAAAATCGCCAAGGATCACGATCTCTGCGGATGGAACCTGTTGTAGCAAAAAATCTGTAGCCATTTGGACGTGGTTAATGAGTCGGTCTGTTTCGGCATTACCGCTATGTGACCTATAGAGGCACCCGTAGACGCACGGATGGTCGTCGTTGTCTACGCGTAGCCATAGGATGGATAGGTCCGAACCTTCAAGAGTGCCGAGGCGTCGAGAACAGATGTCCTCTCTGACATACACGCAAACTCCAGCCCGAGGCACAAAGGAGTGCTCCAATTTGTACCCCGGGTAGGAGAGATACGAAGTATCAGCTGGAGAGGAAACCTGCGTCTCGGTCAGAAAGTCTATGGGCTGTCGACTGATAGCTTGTTTGACACTTTAATGTTTAAAAAGATTAGCAGTGTATTTTTTCTGTTTTGCTCTTTGTTTATTATTTTTTTAAATGTTACTCCCATACCAGGATTTTCTCCTATATCGTGGAGGCAGTTTACATACATAAATTTCACAATTACAAACATCCAGGCCCGGAACAATTATTTGTAGGCCATACAATTACTTGTTTTTGCCTGCCGATAGACCTTTACAAATGTGTGCGTGCGCAGTAAAATCATTTAAAATAACGCGTTACCACTCATTTTAAACTTAAAAGATAAAAGGGACATAATTATTGTGATATTTTTAAATTATTTTTTTTTTCACTTTCATTGGTGCCGGCCGGGATCGAATCCGAGTTGCTTGCGTACTATGATAGGCTGCTCACCTACTATAATAATTACGGCAAGTATTCTAACCCCTTTTGATACTATGGCTCATTTCATAATGTATATAATATACATCATTCAGTACGTACATAGTATTAACCTAAACATTAGATTTAATGAAATCAATGTTATAAATTTTGCAAGCTTGTGATTAAGTTGAAAGTTTGTGAACAGTTCCACTATTTTGCACGCATATATACATTCACGGGGATAAGCCACAAAGGTCGCGCTTTGATATCGTATCGTATCGTCTGTCGCGTTGGGCAATGGCACTCGCGCGGCGCACTGGCGCGCATGCGCTGATAGACATTTTACCGCCAAACGCCGCACTCGTTGTTTCACTATAAAAAAATCAACAATATTTAATTTCGACATTGATATATTTATTTTTAATATTAATTTCGTATTGAATTAAATTATTGACACACTTTTAATTTAATTTTGTTGTGTCAAAGCTTGTTAGACATTTGTGTGAGTTGTTTGTAATAAACATTTTTATTCGGTATTTTGTACGTAAAATACTGTCGTAATAGAAAAAATGCAGTAAATTTTTTTTGGTCGCAATCAATTGTATGCAGTGTGAGTGCTGTGTTTACGTGATGTGTTCACGATGTGGCTGGCTTTTGGACTGCTGTTGGTGCTGAATGATGCGCTCGCATCGAACTCTAGCATCACAACTTTCGTAGATGTGGTAAGCTCATTGAAACTTATGAAAACCCCATATTCTGCACAATCATTGTAATTCATACAATTTTGTATGGTTCTCTTGAATTTTATAATGTAATTTCATCATCGTTTTTTCAAAATTATACATAATACTACTTAAATAAGGACCTCTATTAGCTACCAAAATTCTTGTAAAATACCGTACGAAATTTTTTTACTACTTATAGTAGACATGAAATCATTATTTATGATTATTTTTATTAAAATATGTTAAGTTAGTTCTGTCAGTTGATTTACAATACTATTATTTTGATTGACACTGAACCCATTAACATACAATGTTTCTGAAGAAACAAAAGTAGAGTTAAGGAAAAACTCCATGCATTTGTCCAACATGAAGTTAATTCGTTTCTATAATGCTTAAGGGTTTAGAATAAAGTTTTAATAAGAGTATTTGTGTAAGTTTTGAATTTAATCGAACCTTTTTTTTACTTGTGTACTTAGATATTATTTTTGCAAAGCCTATCTTAGTAATAAAACGAGACAGTATTTTTTTTCAATTTCAAGGAGGATTGGAGTTAATAAAAAATAAAAAAAATTAAATAAATACCCAAGCTAAAGATTTCATTTCATAAACATTAGAGTTACCCTAATAGATATACCTAAAACGTTTGTTTTCATTTTAATATTTTTAATGTGTTAAGTATATTTATCTTTTAATATTTATATTACAGCTGTTTTGTACTAAATTAACATTTGAATATGTCAATGTTACCATAAAACGAGCTACATTTTGATTTAAACGTAAAAATCATTCACAGTCATAATATAATGTGAATTCATTACGTAATTTTATATGATAGTAAGTCCGGTGTGCATATCAGGTTATTTTATAACCGACTACTTAACATGCTAAATTAATAGTAAAGTATCAAATCGTTAACCCAGTTAAAGTTTCATTAATAATGAAATAAATGAACTTATTAGCATAATTTTTAAAATAGAAGCATACGAACACGTATTGAATAAAACGAATTGAATTTAACTTTTTAACTTATTTTTTAATTCCCGACGTTTCGGGTGCTTTAATGTACTTATTGTCACGCGGATAACATCAGGAATTAAGAAATAAATTAAGAAGTTAAATTAAATGTGACCAAATCCATAAAATTAGTTTTATTCAATGCTGTTACCAAAAAAAAACCCAATAACTGATATGTTGTATCCACTCTACGTGAGCGTTTATGTCTTTTGCTTATAAAGAGTTTACCTGCCAGCGCATTACTTAATGTTGGAGTCGAAAGTCCTAGCTCGAAACCTGGATAGTGCCATAGTAGCAGAAGTTGTCGCTTGATCAAGCAGGGCATGGTTTAAAAACGTAATTTTTAATTTAATGCGTATTTGCTTAAATATAAAAAAATATACGAACACGTATATTGACTTTACATACAATGTAGAGTCAACTCTACGGAGAAAAAAAAAATGTATAAATCAAAATTTAAGGACATTGGTAGCAGAATAACAGATATCAAATTTCGTAAGGACCGTGGTTCTGATCCAGATTATAAAACAATAATTTAAAATTTAAAATTTTGTACAGCCGACTTCAATATAAGTTACGAGTATTAAGAATAACTCAAAAACTATTTATATGAAACCACATGAGAAGTACGAGCTTTCAAATAAAAGAAGATTCATCGAAATTGGTTCTCCCAGTAAATAGTTATGAGGTACCACACATAAAAAAAACATACAGTCGAATTGAGTACCGTCTCCTTTTTGGAAGTCGGCAGAAAAGGGTTCCTGTATATACGGGGTTGCGTTGTTTTGATACCTGTTGACTTTACGTGTGTGTTTATGTAATTTGCTTATAAAAAGTTTGCCTGCCAGCGTATTTCTTTATGTTTTTTTTACTTTATTTTAATAATTAATTAATGTTGGAGTTGTGAGTTCTAGTTCGAAACCTGGATAGTGTCATAGTAGTAGAAGTTGTTGCTGGATCAACCAGTAGGACATGGTATGAAAAGTTAGGTAATTTTTAATTTAATTGTGCAATATTGAACACCTAACCAATAGCATATATGTCTGGTGGTTGTGAACGTGGTTGCTGATCATGAGTTCCCAGGTTTGAATCCCTTATAGGGTTTTTCCGGTAAGAAGTTCTCAGGAGGCTGGAAGTTGGCGGTGTTTCACCCCGTATTTCAGAAAACACGTAAAGCCGTTGGTTCTGCGCCTAATCTCTTTCTGGTAGTATTAGTTTGCCGTCCCATCGAACTATGATAGTGAGGGAATAAAGAATGTCCTTGTGCTTGCGCATACACTGGGCACTATAATCCTGTCCTGCTCAGATGATTGAAGTTCGGTCTGGAGGACATTATATCTTTAATTAGTATATCATCAATGGGTCTCTCCCGTTTTATGAAGTGGATTTGTGATCGCAGTATTTGGTGGTATCATGCTTCCTTGATGTTGCTCCCCATCACCGATCTAAGTATTTTATGTCTGGCTTAAACTAGACGGTTATACCTCCATCTATCGGACGTCATGAGATTTTTTTTTGTATAGAGTAGGGGTGACAATAAAACACAGTACACCTGATGGTGAATGAATGTTGTGGCCCGTAGACAACAACATCTACCTTCTTAAGTAGTAAGTTTTGCAGAACTTAGCTCCGAACGCATGGACAGTTTCCACGAGCTGGTCATTCATATCGTCAACTTATCGGTCTTGTAGGCACCGAAAACGGTTATGTAACTCGAGCTGAAAGGTTTCGGGACTTTGGACTAGAGCACGAGGGGGACGTAGCGTTGACTTCATTAGAGGAGACCTCTCCAACTTAACGTTTAGGTTCAATGTGCCTCTAACCATTCGGTGATCGCTACCAGTTTGCACCCTCGTGATCACTGAGACATCACTGAACAGTTGTTGTCTGGTCGTCATAATGAATTCAATTTCATTTTTTGTCGAACCGTCGGGGCTTGACCAGGTCACTTTCTGTGAGGCTGCTCCTGGAAGAAAGAGTTCATCATAAAGAGTCCCTCTTTCTCCATGAAGGCAGCCAGCTGCTGGCCCCTTGGGTTCCGTTGCCTCATCGGGGAGTGCCGAGGTTGGTGCGTAAACCTGTATGACCTTCAGCGAATACCGTTTGGCGATTCTGAGATCTGAGTATAAGGTACGCAATCCTCGTCAACACACTCAATCTTTACAACGTTGTTAAAGAGAGACTTGTGGGTGATAAATCCGATACCTCTTTGGGACAGATGGTCACACTGCCGGTGATAGAACATGTTGCCGGATTCGAGGATTACCGTGTCCTCCCCCTCTCTTCGGACCTCGGATAATCCTATAATATGCCAGCGTAACTTGTCTATCTCTTCTTCCAGCTCGTCAGTCTTCAGGGTGCGTGCGTTATAAGTTGCCGGGTCGAGTCGTCGTAGGTGGCAACCGAACCTCCACCGGACATTCTTAGCACCCCTACCCCGCTGTTACCATGGTCGCCATCTTAGCCAAGAATAGCGGGTCCGCTGGGGACTGGGGGCCGGCTCTTCGTAACTAACTAAATTTTATTCATTCGGGGGTACACTGCCATAGTTGCCACGCTTGGCGAGCGGATTGGCAACCGTAGTTTTTTATTGTGATTTTGCTGTAATCAGGAAACAGCTGCTGCCCATCTCCTGTCTGTTTCCCACTGTCGCCTCTTACGACATCCACGGGAAGATATGGGGTAGTGGATATTCTTAACAGCCACTACACGGCCAATTATTGAGTTTATCTGTTAAGAAATTGTCAGTTGTAACCCGTAGTCAGGAATTTGGCAGTGTAAACCCCCGTGTGTCGGAGAGCTCGTAAAGCCGTTGGTGCTGCCTGATCACTCACAGGTCGTGTCTGACTGCCGTCCTACGTATGTGAGTTAAGGAATAGAGAGTGCACCTGTTTCTTTGATGGCTAGTCTCCGTTAAGACTGGCCATTATTATTTAGAACATCAATATTAACCACTTCAAACCTCGCGTTAAGGTTGGTTTTTAGGCTATATCCGAGGCCAGTTTGGTTACCTTTGGTGATATTTGTCGACCACATATCGTATATTATATCGTGAGCCTTGATTTCCTAGTCGGAGTTAATGTTAGTAGCAGAAAGTTTATACTTTTCAGCTAGAATGGTTTATTTTTGGGAGTCAAATGAAAAAAAAAACATTTTATGATCATTGTAAGCGGTTGCAAGTAATAATTATGTAAATCTAAAGCGCTAGATATTATTTTCTACCAACTTAAAAAAGGAGACGTTACCCAATTCGACTGTATGTTTTTTATCTGTTTATTCTTACCTCATAACTTTTTACTGGGTGGACCGATTTAGATGATTCTTTTTTTATTTGAAAGCTGGTACTTCACATGGTCCAGGGTCCAGGTCCAGGTCCCATATAAATTTGATCAAGGTCTGACCAATAGTTTTTGAGTTATTCTTAATAATTGCTTCTAGATTGGTTGTCCTTCATGGTACAATATTTACGAATATAGATACCTAATAAGGTAAAGAAACATAATTGTAATTGCGTTACTATTATTAATTATTTAAAACACTTTTCAGGAAAAAAGCAATGAAATTTTTTGTCCTTTCTTCATTAAAAGTCAGAAAATATATTTTATATTAACAGTGAAAAAGAAATACAGATAAATCCGTTATTTATTTTTCTTCTTTGAAGTCGACTTTTACTTTTTATTAATAATGTTTGTGTCTGGCTTGTTTTAATATCAATACATATATGACATTAAGAAAAAGAGAAATAAAAAGTAAAAAACACTTTACCGCCATTTTTCACTTGTTTTCAGTCCGCCAAAATGAGTGAATCTATCAAAGAAATTCGATACATTCTGAAGTTTTAATACAAAAAAGGAAAAATGCGACTCAAGCTGCAAAAAAATTTGCACAAAAGAGTAGCACATTATTGGTTCAAGCGTTTTCAGTCCGGGAATTTTATGTCAAAGATGCAGCTCGCTCTAGTCGCCCTCATACGGATAAAATCG